TACTATAAGGAATTTTTTTCTATAAGAAACGTGTATTTTGAGGCAGGATTCAGAATATCTTGCTCTCAAGAGCAGAAAGGAAGGGGAAATATAACAAACGACTAAGCTGCAAAGGCTTTGCAAAGTCAGTGTTCCATAAATGTTGCTTTTTTATTGATTAGGTAGATAACATGCTGGTGTAGCTTTTTGTTCAGCATTGAACTCCAGGTGAGCAATTTATTTCAGCACTATCACAGTGCATCTGTATTTAGATTAAATAGGTTAGTCACCTACGTACATAATAGTTTCACTCTGCATACAAAGTAGTTCAGAGCCTGGGAAGCACCAGCTAGTTAGACACAGGGCTTTCTGATTGTCCAAAACAGGAGTTGGACTTGAAGATGAATGACCCCATCTCTCAAATGTTGTCACCTTGAGCAGTGAGACTTTGCTGCCCTCTTGTGACCTGTAAACTTGACTTTGCTACGGTGACAACAGCTTCTCTGCCATGTAGTGTACATGTCTCCGTGGTATACAGGCACGATGACTATACTTTGAGCAGCTGAACCCTCTTTTACACTTAGACCCATGTTTCCTCTCCTTTCTTACCTGTGACTCACAGGATGCACCTTTTAATGTCATTGTCATTGCTAATAGAAGTGCTGTCCGTGGGCAAGCCTGGGTAAAGGCTGGAGGCATCCCTGCATTGTTCACAGGAGTAGGGCTTTGTAATAAAGGCTACAGAATGTTTCCCTGCTGCCATGAGGATCATCCATACAGGAAAGCAAAATACACACTTAGCCAGTGTTTGAATATGACAGTGTATACTGAAAGAAGACATGCGTTTTACAGCTGGGAGGGAGGATATTATAAATGATTATACAGTTTTGCACATAGATGATAAAGTTTTCCTCTCCATCTTCTCAAGTGTAAAGCTTGTTTCATTTATGGTAGAATTTTATTGGTAGGTTTTGTTATGGTATTTAATATTTATGGTAGAAATTTTCTTGCTTGAAAGAAAAAGAAACTGTGTTAGGATTGGCTGTATTCTAAAACGAAATGGGGTTGTTCCATCTGGTCAAACTAAATACAACAGCTATATGTCAAAGTGGTTATGCTGTTCCCTTCAAACAACACAGACTTCAGTTGCAGTGACTGCTTACACAGAATTTTGGAACACTTGGAAAAAGCTTAGTATGGCTGCAATCACACTGAAAAGCAAGCTGGAAGCCCCTCTGCTGGTAATACCCTCTTCCTTCCTTACACCTCAACTATATAATGAAGACAGAATCAAACCTTGAAATACATAGGCAAGGAAGCAACAGGGACGTACGAGGTACATGTAGGCTTGAGAGCTGTAAGCTAACGAGGCAGCTGCTTTGTACTCAGATACACGTTTGGAACAGCCCACAGAAGGCATCCATGGGTAAAATGTTCCCTCAGCACATCTGACTGGAGGCAAGTCATCAGTCCTTCTTCACCACAAGCCTCAATCACCATTATACACCCAAATCACTGAAGTAGTTTCTCTCTAATGCTTCTATGCCAAAGTAAACTAAAGCATCCTGCATTTAGATTCTGATTAAAGTTTCCAGGACATGCTGCATTTTCTTCAGGACGTGGCATAGCAGAATGAATGTTCCCAGCTTCAACTGAAGATAACGTTTACCTATTCCCTGCTTTTGAGGAGTCTAATTGCATTGCAATGATTGCATAAACGGAACCTCAAATCTTTGTGGCAGTGGGGATTTTGTACTTTTTTTTTACAATATTCAGGGAAATACACAGGCAGCTGAATCATCTCTGTGAGACATAGCGATATATTTCAACAATCATACTACCAAGTACTACTGCTGCGGCAGAGCAAAGCTCTGGGCAGACTGACAGCTAATCCATTTGCAGAATTAAGTCAAGAAAAAAACAGAGAGAAGCCATGTGGTAACAGTCCCTCAGTGAGTCTATAGACTCATTAACATCAGCATTTGTTCCTTCAGAGGACAAGGAAGGTGCCTCAAGTTTCTGTCTTTCCAACATTCCTGACAGCAAAGCCATTTGTCAGGGTAGACATTCGGTATAGTCAGGTCAGGAGGTGCTCGCAGCACAGTGCCAGCCCTTGACACTGCTGTAAGCTAGCAGTGACCCTTCACACACAGCACAGCACGGTGCAGGAGAGATGCTTCAGCTTTGCACAGCTGGTGTGCCTGAGAGAGACTCCTGGAGAGCCTAAGGGTAAGGTCCAGTTGCAAAAGTCTAAAGCTACTGTTTTGAGAGCCAACTGGGGTAGCTGAGGCTTCTTAAGAGGCTCAGAAAGGACACATATACTATTGTTCCTGTAAATCCCTTTTACTACAAAAAGCCACTTTCTGATCCTCTCTTCAGAGCTGGAAGTGAATTCCAGTGAATTCCATGACTAGCTGCTGCACCTCCTTTGCAAAACCAATATATACTATATCAGCAAACAGTAGAAGAATTAAATCATCTCACATCAGAGCTTATCTTTAACATGCTGTATCCAAGTGAAAGAGTGGAGTTCATTCTTTTCCTTTCCTTACCAGCAAGCACCAACTGATACAATAAAATACGCAGCATCAACCAGATATCATTTCAAGTCTGCTGGAACTAAAAGCAGATGACTATCTGGGGAACAAATATTCCTTTCAGCAGCACATAACTGGAGCTGATATACTCCTATATATGTATGTATAAATATCTTCTACTGATCTTTGCCTCTCTTCTTATCTTTAATTACCATCTCTTTTTTACAGCGACCTTCTTCCACAGCCAAGAAAGTATTTAGTCTTTCTGATGGGTTTGGATGAAGAGTGTTCTTTCAGAAAAGGTCAACTGAAGGCAATGTAATAGTGAAACTCCAGAGCAGCCTTCAGACTACAACGAGAGTGAAGTTTCAATGGCAAACAAGCACTACACCTAATGCTGCACAACAAAACATCCTAGCCCCAGTCCATAACGGAGCGCCCACTGCTCCATTACTGACTTCATACCTGTCCAGTAAATCGTGATTCTAGAATACAGAAAGAGGAAAACTGAATCTCTGCTTCCCCAGCATTCATTTCTGTAAGTTACTGATCACTCTGGCACCAATCTAATACTTGCGGATGTGTAAAATCCCATTGATTTCAATTGAAGCCTTTTAGGATGTCTGACATCTGATCTCATTGTAGACTCGTGGTCAAAAATCCTGGACAAAGTGTTCAGGACTCCACTGGGTCAGATGAAACAATAAGTCTTTAGAGCAGACAGATACTGCTAAAGAGACCCAGCCTTTTCTCTGAAAGGGGTAGAAGACCCAGTTATGAGAGCAGAAGGTATTCTGTTGTCAGAAAACTTCTATGAATCCAGAATAAAGTTCAGGGGTTGCTGATGGGTTTTGCAGGGTGGTGGTAAGCCAAGGATACACTGGACATCATAACTGGCAAGGGGACATAGCCTCTGTCACGCGAACACAATCCACATATGGAAATAGATAGTTATGTGTTACCAATAATGGTAAGACAGGATCCTATTTTCCTGGAGGAATCCTTGCTACAGAGCATTTGCATCTCCATATTCTTAAAGCCCAGCTCCAAACATGCAGATACTTTATTTTTAAATGAAATAAATCTACCTCTGCAACAAGAATTTGTGCCGGGCCTGCCATTTCTTATTCATTGCACAAGGAGGGCTTAAGTGGTATCTTAGGCACTGAGTCCCTCTGCCCTGAAGTAAGCATCATCTTTAAATCTTTCTCATATATTAGCTCCTCTCTATTGCAATAATACACCTGGATGTGTCTTTCTCCAATACACTCTGCTCCCAGATTGGATTCAGGTTGCAGCAGCAGTCCAAACAGCAAGTGGACTCACAAAGACATAGGTCTATACCAATGTTAACTGCAATATGTTGTAATTTGAGTGCCTGCTAATTGAACTAAAGCCTAAGACCTACTTTGTCACAATAATGTGATTATTTGTATTATAAGAGATACAGAACTCATTTTACGATCTTTGCCAACAATGACATCTCAAAGTTGTCATTCTTGTTATGAGATATGTGATGAAAGACAGAAAAGCAGAATTCAGAGAACCTATCAGAGTGAAACAGGCTAACATAGGAGGAGAATAAAACAAAGGAACCAGGACAAAGGAGGGATGAACAGAAGCAGCTCAGGCCCTTAGCTGCCCTGGTGCCAAGAGCAGAAGAGTTTAGTAGTTTGCTCCTCTTCCCTAAAAGCAGAGGTAGGTACATGTTGTGCCTGCTGTTTCTGCTGTGCCTGCAGGAAGACAGAGCTGAGGGTGTCACAGAATTGCCAGCCAAGCAAACAATGTCATGAGATCTGAGCTCATCAAAGCACCTCTTGCTTCAGTGAGACATTTTTTAGATGACGAATGGTTTTTGAGAAAGCAGAGCTTTGCTTTTCTTTTTACTCTTTTCCTCCTGAAAACTCTGTTTGGAGGCCCATGACCTGATCCTATCACTTTCACAGCTCAAATATGCTTTCAGCTTTTACACTTTTTTTAATGAAAACCTAAAAACACATGAAGAAAAATCTCACAGAGATAAAAGCATCTCTGATTGTCTCCACATGGAACCTCACACTAAAAAACTGGGGACCACGGCAAGGAGGAACCATCCTTACAGGCCACAGAGACTCATCTCCTCCAACAACTCCATTTCTTATACTAAGTCAGTATCCAGCTAAGATCTCCTTGACTGTGTGATCTGTACATGCCATGACCCACAGAAAAATCACTGCCTATTCTTTATGTGTAGCAGAAGGATCTGTCTTCCAGGAACACCACCTCATAAGGAGAATTTTGCACTGTTCCACAGACAGAATAACAGGAAAGCAGTTGAGACATGCACAGGCATTAGTCAAGTCATGATTTAGCCTGAACAGCTGGCTAGGAGGTCATAAAAGAAATGTGGTTTACTACATGAGTGATAGATGAAATGACCCTATTGCCAAACTTGACTAAGAGCTGGAACAGCTGCAGAGCATACATAGAATTTATGAGACTAACCTCTGGATTCCTTCCTGAGCCCAGGAAATTGCATTCCTTTGAGGTCTGGACTGGTGTTCATTGATAATGCAAAATTATACTCTTCTGCAGGGAGAAGAAAAGCAAAGCAGAAGCACTGGAAAGCTAAATGGCCTTATGAACCTTATAAACTGAAAGGAATGAAGAGGGATAATATATCACTCTCTTAAAAATCTCTACTCTCCTCTCAACCCAGAGGGAGAACTTGCACATGCAAAGGACAGGGAGCAAATGTTATTAAAAAATTGAGCTATTTTTCTTCAGTCTGTGAATTGAGAAGTAGAACGGTATTACCTGCCTCAGCCCATTACCATCCTGCATGAGCTGTCTGTTACATGGCTTATCAGGCAGACACAAGTGATGGAAATGCACAGAAAGCAAATAGAACAAGCAGAAAATTAAGTGGAGAGAGAAGACAGTTCTGGCCTGAGTACGACTGAATTCTCTTTGCTTAGGAACTACTGGGCACTGGCGCTTTCCAGTGCATTGCACTTCCAAAGCTTCGCAGCATCAAAGCTTTCTCTCATGCCGCAGAGGATGAAGAGACCATGTAAGGAGATAAATGGGGTTGGCTTTTTCCAAGGAGTTCTTTTGTTAGTAGACAATGGGTTTCAGGATGTATAAAATGTGCTGAGTAGCCAGAGACAACTAAAAACAAAGAAAAAAGCTAATGTTTATCTCTGGTCTTCCTCTTCTGGGCGTAATATTCCAGATGAATCAAGGGAAACCCGAAGAACAGCACGAGGCATATATCCTAAGGAAGCTTAATTACCAAAAGACTAATTCCACATTACATGATGTGTAAGGTAATGGTGGAAAAAAGAAAGCTTTTATTGCATAAAAAGAACACCAAGATTTCATAACTTATTGGTCTAATGTGGAATTAAAAACAAGACTTCGTTCTGAACCCACCCTAACCACCCATGTATCAATAATCAACAACCCACTGATCAGAACACTAGACTGGAAGTGGGAGAAGCTGAACAAGCATAACTAAGGCATGAATTTCAGCCTCCTAATCCCCATGGAGAGCCCCAACTTTTATAATGGTTATTTAAAGGCGATTTTTACCACCTATCTTTAAGGACACAAGAGAGCTACTCAACCAAGTGCTGACCTTTCCCCAATGGGAGGAAAAAATGATTTTTCTGTTTTAAATAACTTTCTTACCTCGGGACTCTGTAGCAGTTGGAGAACAAAGGACCGTGTTATTTTCATGTCCGATTAGTGACTGGAAAATCCGAGTGGAGTCAACAAGAAACGCAGTAAGTAGAAGTTGTTCCTTGGTTTCTGCATTGACCTCAAAGTGAGAGATCTTGAGAACATTTCTATAACCTGTCCACAGTGATGAAAAGCAGTTATTAACTCTTCATAAAAGCATTAGCTGTCAGCATCCCAAGACAATAACTGTACTAATAATAACCGATTGCAAAACCACATCGTTATGAAAGTATACAAAACACAGATTTCAGTTGGTATTCCTAAGTTGGCGTTTTGTCCTGTGGTATCCGGTCATACTGTCACTCATTGTGTTACAAAGGAAAACTGGATTCACCCTGTGACCGAGCAATTGGCATCTTACAACCATACTTATCCTATAAATCCCAAAGCAGGCAGTGGTTATCATACATAACCCCTCTAGCACAGCACTGAAATAGACCATCTCGTCGGGACCTGAGCCATCCTGCTTCCACTTGCATGTGTATGTCTTCTGGCAGAAGAAGAATACTGCTGGGGACCCTACATTCTACACTGTACAAGTATTCAAACCATACAAGTAACTGCAAAACCGGGGGGGGGGGTTAATCTTCTTTTTAATCTTCTGTTATTCCTTTTCTTTCCACTCCCCATTCTTACCCTCCTTTCAACACAGATTTATATACACCCATACCCACACACACACTCACGTACTTCCTTTTATGAAAGGGAGAAAATTAAGAATTGATACTCTTTGAAGGCACTTTCTGCCTTTCGTTTCCTTAGAAATGCGTAGTTTATATCTCTACTTACATCTAATTGAGTTGATTGTTTATTTTGCCTTGCTGGGTTATGATTTTGAATTTAGGTATTGCACATACTGAAATTCCACTGCATGTACTGGGCTGGAGTGAAATATTTCTATGTGTTTTCCCATCATATAGTAGAAAGTAGTGAAAAAAAGGTCTCATTTGTAAGACAGTACCAGGCAACAGAACTGGTAATGAACCACTTCTAAAAAAGCCATGATATTTTATTCCACAGAGCTTAAGGATGATGATAAAAAGTATTGGAAATCATTTGCAAGTGTAAGACAATAAATCAGTGACTATCGGCTGAAGGCATTGACCTTTCACTGATCAAAATAACTATGAACAAACCTCTGAAGTAATTGAGATTGAGAAGGATATGGAGTCTTACAGAGGCTGTGACAGGAATACCACTATCAAATCAGATTTTTTTATGGTCACATTTTAACAACGTTAATTTCATGGTGAGTTTTGAAGGCAAAACCCCTGTCCCTGATGAAATCTAGGCATCTTTGAAACAACTACCTTTCCTTTTCTATGGGGATCATCCTGACAAATCAAGTGCACAGATTCTTCTGCAGGACACTCTTTTGCCCTTTCTTCTTCCATTTTCTTATAAGGAAATGGGAGTCATCTATAGGGAGGCTTGGACTGTAATGTCTAATCTGGCAGGAAGGGCAGAAATAAGCCTACACACAAAATGAAGCATGAGTCAGATGTCAACCTCACATCCAGTTTTCTCAAGCATCACCTTTTTGCACTGTTTCAGTATAAGCTGACTAAAACTGCACTAAGACAGAGCTTCGTACAGTAATTAGAAGTCTGTCATCACTTGAAAGCAAGGGTTGGGTCTCTACTGGCAGCTTTGGATGGAAGCTGTGTTGTGGGTGGCACATACAGCTTCGCTCACCACCACCTGCCAACTGTTTCTCCTGGGTTTGTCAATCTTCAGTGGGGAGCAACAAACAGAACAACATAAAAGTAAGAACTGGTGTCTCCAAGAGAGCTACCGTTCTTTTCATTCAACAAACCTCTTCCACCACTTAGCTGTTCTTTGGCTTGTACCTACAGTACTCACAGGTTTCACTCATTAAAACCATCTTTAAGATTCCCAAATGCTCTATGGAAATGTTTTCCTGTTAGATCCAAGGGTAGCATCTTTTCAACACTCTGCTAGCTCCTCTCAGGCTGGAATCTGTTGTCGTCGTCCCCCCCCCAATACTCTAGTTCCGGTATGTTCTTTCATCTTTGAAGAGAGGAATTTGTTTCAATAGAACTGACTTGAACTGTGTCATTCACTGCCTGGTCAAATTTATCCCTCAGTTTCCACTAAAGACAATGCCCAAGGCAGGTACACATTCCAGAAGAGAGGAAGAGATAGCACATCTCCTCCTGAGGTATTTATGCATGTGCTAAAGCAATTCAGAGGTTCCTGTTCCTGTACCTGTTCTGAATGTGGATATAATGCATGAGTGGTGTATACAATTAAAAAGAATAAATAAACGTGTTTAACACCTCATGAACCAGTCATTCCATTTCAGGCTAGTGCACTTAATTCTGGGGAATAGAGAATGAATATGCTATTTCTTAGAATCTCAAAACACTGGAAATGGCCCTCGAGGTAATCCCATGCAGACATCTGATCAAAGCAGGACTGACTTCCAAAGTTACACCGTTTTCCACTCAAAAATGTTCACAGGCAGTGATTTCATGACCTCTTTGGGCACCTCTTCCAGTGTCCAGTCACGCTCACTGTGAATAACTTTTTTCTCTGTTGTTTCTCCATTTCTCAGGGTTGCAAAGTGTGACCCCTCTGTGCTGTTCTTGCATTCTCTAACCACCCTCCTCACCAGAAAAACTGTGAGTGTTTACCAGCCACTGCGCCTTTAGCATGCAAAAGATGTTCAGGTATTCAGCAGGAATCTCCAGGGTACCTGATCTTATTTAAAGCCTTGAACACTGTCACAATAGTCAATCACTAATACACACTCCAGCACAACCTGTTTCATATGTTTCTTTATAAGCATGTACCCATAAGCAGGATTATAACCTTGATCCTGAACTTAGAGGGAAGGGTAGCATGTGATTATGTTCTTGAACTTTAATCCATCCTATAGAAAATAGTCAGGAAGGTTACAAAGGCTACCAGATAATGAAAGGTTTCAGATGGCTTTACAGTATTAACATTTACCTCCCTCATAGTACAAACAGGAACATGAATCTTCACCATTAAGTTGCAGCCAGGTATAGTTGGATAGATACAGCGCAAAGACGTTTTCAAGTTGCATTTGCATATGTTGTAAGAAAGGAGACCATGGAGTTATTCAGAACAACAGTCAAATTGAGAGAAGAATCCCCCCATACCAACTGCCACTTCCAAACTTTTCTTGCAAGGTGAAAAACTGTCCTTCTCAGCAAATACTGGCCTTCCAAACATACCTTCCACTGGAAAACAGCATTGTCATGCTCCACATTCCAACAGCCAGTGAACGCTCTACTGGAACATCCCCGAAGCTAAAGCACTGTGCTCTCTCTTCAGTCCACTGGCAGCAGCCTGGAGTCTCATGTCAGGGATTTAAGAGAGGGTTTACTGAGTTGGAGCCCACTTGTAACAATCAGTGAGAAAGACACAAAAATTAATGTTTCTTCCTTTAGGCATTGCTACTTCTGTCACAAGTAAGGGGAATGCCCTAAGTGCGGCAGGGCTATGGTGCTGCAGGGAAGACCCCACAGCTCACTCCTGACTTTTAAGTGCTACGTGATCTCTATTTGCAGATTTAAACCCAGTATTAGCAATATTCCATCAGAAGCATGATCAGGACAGTACATCAGTATTCATGTCACACTCAGTGCCCGGCAGGGAACTGCTGACTGCTCATCAGGCCAAATGCACTGTGTCCAGATCATACAGTCATTCTCAAATTCACCACACTGTCAATGTGTGACTTCTAAGCCACTGGTTAATGCTTGAACTTTTAAGCTCAGCATCCAGAACTTGTGAACAAATGCAGCTTAATCAGTGCATGTATTTATGAATGTAACATCAACCTAACCTGCACAGGAGAGCATCAGAAAGAATCAGATCAGACTGAGAGATCTGCCCTTTCATCTCACTCCAAGCCAAACTGCATCACATATATCACACCAGTTGCACTGTCACGTGTGTGCTTCTCTGATGTCACCTCTAAATCACGGATATCTCCATTTTGCAAGATCTATCACCAGAAATTTAAAGCTCAGCAGGATGGATTTGAGAACACTCTCACAGATGATATCTGTGTTCCACTACTGTGATCCTAACGGCTTTTCCCAGTGTTCTGTTCCTGCCCAGTCCTAACAGTTGGTCTGCTCAGCCAACACTTGGCTCTGCACCCAGACTTGGCTGTTCTGTGACCTGCCAGCTCTCTTACACACAGACAGGTCCAAACTACCTGCTTGTTCCAGACATTACTTTGAACCAAGCACATCCAAAGCAGTGTCACGTGCGTTCCTTTCAGTAACAGCAAACTGAGCTCGAAATGAACAACATGGAAATAGGAGCCACCTCCAGGCTCCCTTGGTTTGCTTCCAAAAATCTAAACACTAAACTAGCTCAGAACTTTAAAAAGCACACAGTGAGCCACTGAGCAATCACTGCACTGTGTACAGAAACAGAGCATCAGTTAGAATCAGCTCTTACAAACAGAACTACAAATGCTGCTAGTTACTCAGTTCTCTTGGGTTGGCACAAGGGCACACTGACCCTGAAAGACACAACATGACTCACCCCAGCTTCTCCCAGTCACCCCATGCGTGTTCCTGTTGCTTCCTTCTCTGATCCGGTGGAACATCTTAACCTTCTGTGATTTCTGTTTGCCTACAGGATTACCTCTCAGATCAGCAAGCAGGGAGAAGGCATGACTGTCCCTTTGGGCAGCGAGGTACCCTTAAAACAGTTAAACTGCAGCATAAACCCACACCTTTCACTAGAGTGACTTTAA